TTGAGCACTGATTGAAAATCCCTCTGTCATTTTGAACCAATATAGTTGTGCGGAAGTTTCAAATTCTTCCACACATGATCATTATCAAACAACGTTTTGAAATGAAAAATCATGTGTTTACTTCTATACTCTCATGTTGCTTTTATAACTCAAGTGACGTAGTTGCAAACATAACATATGTGCAATACTATCATCATCACAGTGTTTTCATTATAGCAACTACATCTTCCTTAATCGAGTCATCAGCAAATGTCTCTAAAAAGGACTATTACAGGACAACCAATTTTTCTCATACATGAGAATAATTCTCGGATTACGATGCCATTCAAGAAATTTTGAATTGGTTGTTGGCATCCAGTATTCTTCTCAAATACATATGGTTACTCATGATTCAAAAAATATAAATGACGAAAAATAAAAGAATAATATATATAATGCATCAATTAATTTAACATGATCTTTTATTAAATTTATTACGCTCCCATTGTTTAACTCAAATTTATGATCCTTTCGAATAAATTTTTGGAATCCATACTTGATCCTTAGTAGGCCAGGATCCTATTTGTTATATTAAGAATTTGAATGTACTCAACAAGTCTTAATAGAGCATTTAGATAGATATTATTATCGATTGTATCTTCATAAAACTCTCAGATCATTAATCTGACAAATTTTATCTTCACACATCTTATATATTAACTTAACATGCCTTTAAAATTTATCTTCTTGAGTGTACTAAAAAAATAAATTTTAGTTAAATCAAACTTATTATTCAGAAATATTTAATATTTCATAGTGTCAAACAATCCTTAATGGACCAATCTTGATTGTTCTTAACAAGATGAGATCGATCGATTGAGAAATTTGATTTTACACTATAATGATGGAAGGCAAATATAAATATAACTTAATATTTTAACGAGTGATTTTACAAGCAAATTTCTCATCATAATAATTATATATATTTTATTATACATCTAACACGCAAATAAACACATATATAATAGTGTGGACGAATATGAACTTTTACTATCTAATTTTCTCGAGCTATAAAAAAAAAAACTAGTTGGTCAGTTCTTATGGGGAATTGCATTGACACATTCAGTCCTCCATCTCTATGTCTTATTCTCTTCTTGTATCTTCAATTAGTTCAGCTGTAACCTGTATTCTATACTAGTTGACATGCATGCCTAAATAATTGGACACATAGGACCACAATAATTACAACGGACTAAGAGGTCCAAAATAAATAAGAGCTCGCAGATCCATAATACAACAACAATAAAACTAATAATTAAATACATCCACATAGTCGAGTTCATTATTATCCACTAAATAAAACATTCATGAAATAAATGTATTCCTATATAATGTTTAATATTATATGCAAGCAAGTTTCAAGATTCTGACAATTAAGGTCGTCTAAACTAATTTAGACAAATGGATTAGAACAATTAAATAACTAATTTATCAAATTAATCAATTAATTTAATTTATTAGGTTTATTTAATTAAAATCAGATTTTAATTAAGCATAAAATTAGAGTCGAATTCTAATTTTCATAATTATAGAGTGGGACTATTTAATTAAAATTAAATTTTAATTAAATATCAAATTAGATTCTAACTCAAATTTTAAAATTTAAAGCGATTGAATTTAATTAAAATAAAACTTTAATTAAATAGAAAAATTAGAGTCCAACTCTAATTCCAAGTTTTAGGGCGAACTTATTTAATGAAATCAAATTTAATTAAATACAAATTAGAATCCAACTCTAGTCCCAAGAAAAAATTTAGGAGACAGTTTAATTAAAAATTAAATTCTAATTAAATGTCAAATTAGAATCCAATTCTAACTTTCAGAATATATTGGGATGAACAATTTAATTAAATACTAAATTAATGTCTAACTCTAATTTAAACTGAATTAATATTTTAATTTAAAAATTCTAAATAAATAAAATTCAATTTAGAGTCAAATTTTCATATTTAAATTAAAATACATTTTTAACGAAAATATAAAAAGTCATCAATTTTAATAAGATTTTAATTTGAGTCAAAGTTAAAATATAGTTCACGCCTAGTTAAAATACAATTCTTTTAAAACCCTTTTCAAAATTTAAATTCAAAACTCATTTTTGAAAATTTACATTTTGACTCATTTTAAAATTATACACAGACCCTCCAAATACTCAAATTTTAAAGAAAGCCTTTCATTAAATAATTGCAAACAGACCATAAAATAGAAATTTGTAGGAAGGGCCCCTTAATTTCAAAAATTGCACAAAAGATCCCTCCCCAATTTCATTCTCCCGAACTAAAAACCCTAGAACTAAGCATATAGGAGCTAGTGCTGATGGCCAAGAAGAAGTGTCCGACGTTGTAGTAACAAGCAGTTGTGCTTGCCCCTGTTGTTGATAGTGGTGAAAAATACTTTTTTTCTAATTGCTAGATTCAAGAAAAATATATATGAGCAGTAAACTTTTGATTGTTCAAGGTATAAGACACTTTTTAACAAATATAAAGTTGGCTCTTATACCACTGTTGGAAATTTACTTAATCACGTACAGCAAAAAATAAAATAATTTTAATTTCCACCAAGTATCCGCTTTGAGTTTAAATTGCATTATAAGTTATACTTTTTGTGAATTGTGCACTCCTTTGTTTATCTTGAACAAGAAAAATCATGATCTGCAATCCACAATTGTCCAGCTTCTAATAGAAATTCATTCAAGGAATAAAATTGAGGAAACTATAGTTTTTGTACTAGTAAGAATAATTATGTTTTCTTCTTTTTTGATTTTTTCATAACCTTGGCAACCTATTCATATATGTCTAAGTGGACTTTCCCCGTCTCCTAAGTTAATCAGGTCCAATATCTAATTAATCCAATTAATTAAATTTGGTCCTTAATTTAATTAATACGATTAATTAATCGATCCTATTTTCAAGCAACCCTATTAATTAATTATTCAACACTTGTTAATTAATTAATTGATGAATCTTATTCTTTCGATTCTCCTTTTGTGTATGACCCATTAAGTTTCCAATCATGATGCCTAACAAGGTGAAATATTATTATTTTGATTTAATCAAAATCGATAAATTAAAAAAAGAAAAACTCTTTTTAATTTATCATCAATCAATATTCATTGTCCTAAATTGATATGTAGCAATGTATCGGGGCTATACATGTGACGAAAAATGTTATGAGATATGACAAAACCAAATTTGTCAGTTTACCATGAAGTTGTAATCATTTTGTCAATATGATCTGATTAATTATGATATATGGATATGTGTCAATCTTAATTATCGATTATATTTCTCATTCCACTATTAAATCAATGTAAATCGAAAACTTCTTTTCGACTTATAAACACACTTTGGCCAATGATTTTCTTATCAACTTAACTGAATGAAATGTAAATCATAATCTTTTACTATTTAAGAGTGTGAATCCTCTATTAATCATTCACAATTTTCATATGATTCTTATCATACCAGAACAATGTCATATTAGTGGCCCATAGTAGAGCAACATCTAATATCACCAAAGTATTAATATCCTCATATAAGGCACTATGATGATCTTAAGTTGAAGAATTGATTTCACTATCTAACGTTAGAGATTAATCACTGATACTCAAATAGTTATCCATGTGAAATCTTCCCAACATTTCTTGAATGTTTTGTTCAATAACAAAATATTCACGTGTTCATTTAAGTGTCACCACACTTTAATTTGTAAAATCAGCTACTTATTTCACAAGTAAAAAGTACTATACATGATGATCTACTCGTAATAATGATATCTGTATCTCATTATTACTTACGACTATGAATGATTTAATAAGATTCAATCATATGTAATTTGTATCTCACAATTAGAACTCTTCTTGATTAACAAATTACTAAGATTTGAATCTACGAATTCTATTATTTAATTTATTAAATATTAACTAAATAATATTTTTTTCTATAAAATTGCATCAGTTATATATTAAAAGTATTTATGTTCAAAATTGATTGAAGGTAAGACGTAACATTTACATGGTCATAGCATGATTTGACTTGTATCTAAAGTTCATATTTCAACTTATAATTGGCTACATGCATGAGCAAATTCGAGACTCTGTTTGGGTAAGGGAGAGATCATCTTAAGGCCCAAGTCAGGCTAAGTAAAGCTCTTCCAATGATATGCCCAGGTTGCTCGACATGGTTCATGCCATACTTCAATATTTTTCGACAATTCAACTCAGGTCGATTAGTCAAAATATTAAAATAGTTGATTGACGGGTATGTAAAGTTTTTATTTTATTGATAAACTTTCAATTTATGTGAATTGATAAGTAAATATTACAAGAATTCGATGTTGTTTTTTCCTATTTTTTCTCCGTAGCTAAGAGGAACTGTAAATGTATATTTACGTCTTATTGAAACAATAATGAATTAACATGGCAGTTGTATGATTATAAAAAGATTTATAAGAATTTATATATTTTTTCCCGAGTTTGCAATTGTTCGTTGGTGGGGAAAGTGAAGGAAATAAAGCTACTGAATTTCGGATTGCTATGAAACATTTTAAAATTACTAATTGGAAATTCGATTGAATTTCAATATTTACTACCTTTTTTTTTTTTTTTTTTTTTTTTGGAAGCTCATATTTTAGAAGAACGTTTTTGATTGATTTGACATAACGATAATAATGTGCAATGTTAGGGCATCTGTTTGTCATGTCAATGAGAACATTGAATTTTCTAACATTCAGATATTGAGTGATGTAATAATAATGATTTGATAAATTCAGTGATTATCGGAAATACTCTAAAAAGTTTTATAGCGAATGGAATAATGATTTACTGAATTTATAACCCCATGACATTATTGTTGAAAATATAATGAGTTACTACTGCCTACCCAGTTTTTTTTCTCTGATCCTACATCATATTTCATGCAGAAATGTACCCGACAAGTTGACTATAAAAGGGAGGGCCAAGGTGTGCTGTAAGACTATTAAAAGGCTGGTCAAAATAAATGGCGAAATTGGCCTTTTCCGGCCTTTCGCCGTCTTAGGGAGGGCCAGTTAGCCTTGTTAACTTGTTCGTGGTGGGCACTCCTTTAATACTGAATCGGTTTCAATTATGCGGCGTTTAAGTAATAATCGGACCAGTTTTACTACTGGTTTCCGGTTTTCCTCGCAATGGTCCAGTTTTGATAACATTATAGGGAGCCATTTCAGAGAGCCTATTCCCTCCACCACCCACCCCAACTACCACCACCATCTATTCGGCCGTTCATGCGTCACTACTGAGCTTCTGCCTCTTCCCTTCGCCAATAAAAGTCACATACGTCGTCAACCTCTCAAGCACAACTTCAGCAGTGTGGCGGTAGAACCAGCAGAGATTGATTGGGACAACCTTGGTTTTAAGTTTATGCCCACAGATTACATGTATATGACGAAATTTTATGAAGGAGAAAACTTTTCTAAATGTGAATTACAGCGTTTTGGGAACATTCAGTTGAATCCATGTGCTGGGATTCTAAATTATGGACAGGTCAGTTTTTTATGTTTTATAAGTAAGCTTCTTAGAATTATTGTTCAGTTTCACAGAATTACTTTCGGAAATTAATTTGTAGGGATTATTTGAAGGTTTAAAAGCTTACAGGAAGCATGATGGCAATATTTTGTTATTTCGTCCTAATGAAAATGGTTTGCGACTAAGGATGGGTGCAGAACGTATGTGCATGCCTTGTCCAAGTGTTGAACAGTTTGTAGAAGCTGTAAACGCAACTGTTTTAGCAAACGAAAGATGGGTAATGTGACATTTTAGCTTTGAGATTTGAAATGTATTAAGTTGCTTAGAATTGAATGAATTTGGTTTCTTGTCTTCTATCAGATTCCACCAGCAGGTAAAGGTTCTTTATATATAAGACCAATGCTTATGGGGAGTGGAGCTGTTTTAGGCCTGGCACCTTCTCCTGAATACACCTTTTTGATATACGTATCGCCTGTCGGAAACTATTTCAAGGTATCATGTCCTAACCCTACGAATCAATTGCAGTGTGCAGTTCAACAAATGGGCAATGGCATCCTTTTATGAATGACACATCTCTTCAACCTTTTGGTTGTCGACACCTTTGTTTTCCTCATTTTAGGAAAAATAATAATAGAGACTAGAATGGAGACTTATTTCGATGCTTATTGTCTTGGAACTTATTTCTAACATTCACTTGATAATTGATTTCCAAAATAATCTTGATTAATGTGACTTGTTCTACTGTACAATTTCCTCTTTGGAGGATGACTTCTCCTTCACAATTTTTGTACCATAAAACCTCATAGGTATTGAATGTTTATGATTTTGCCAGGAAGGTTTGGCACCAATAAATTTAATAGTTGAGACTGTAACGCCTCGAGCAACACCTGGAGGCACTGGAGGAGTTAAGACTATAGGAAATTATGCAGCAGTAAGCTAATTTTATGTGAATTCTTCTTTCCTTTGGGTCATCTTTAAGTACTGTTAAATTTCTTTATTATTCCGACTTTCAAAATTCTGATTATCACAAAGCATATTTTTATCTTCGGAAGTATATTTTATAGGTTCTGAAGGCACAAATTGCTGCAAAGGAAAATGGCTTTTCTGATGTTCTTTATCTGGATAGTGTTCACAAAAGATATGTCGAAGAGGTTTCGGCTTGCAATGTATTTGTTGTGAAGGTACTCTATTTTTTCCATTTCGTTGTGTATCAGTAACTGAATTATTGGGGCCATTAAGTGCATTAAATATGAAATTGCTACTCCCTTAGATAGCATTTACTTTTGCTTCAGGCGAGGTGGTAGAACAAGTCACATTAAATGTTCTAGCACATAACAGAGGCCTATAATTGGATTTCTTTATTATTATTATTTTTCAAATTGAAGTGGTGCCCATATGTTACTATTGCCAGGTTTCAATGATGTGTCAATTTTATTCAATTTCAAATAGTATATGCAATCATTTGTGAATAAAATTGCTAAAATGCAATAATTCGAACATTAAATAAATGGATTTAAATATTGAGACTCTTTTATCCAAAACATTAGTCTCAGAGGAGTTTAAGTTCCATTAATATACCATAATTCTTTAGGCTAGCAAAAGCCTGACATAAACCACTTGAATTGACTACCATCAAGACCTGTCTCGCTCAAAACTTAGGCCCTGGTTGGCTCCCATTTTTTTTGGAAATGAGAATAGGTAGAATTAGGGGCGGAGCCACTATACGTCCAATGCGGGCAGATGCCCGAATTTTTTTTTTTTTTTTTTTTAAGGTTTGTTTGTTTGTTTAACCAAGTAACTCAATTCTCGATCCAGCATAGAGAGAGAAGCCCAATTGTTCAAGGTCATGACCCGTTTTAGACCCATTCATATCAAAATTCAATTGAATCAATTGTTGACCCAAACGCATTCATTCATTTCAAAATTTCTACCCTTCATGACTTTGTCTGTGACGATTTCACACTTCGCCACCCACTTCTCTCTCCACTGGTAACAAAGCCCGCTGTTCCCTTCCCTCTCCGTCAACCGTCGTCTTCGATAGTCGTCACAGTACAATCGTCGTTCCCTTTCCCTCTCCGACAGTTCATTATTGTATATCTCCTACTCTAGGCTCTCATCTTGACATCTCACATCTTTAACTCCGACTTTACATCCTCAGCTCCGCCAAGGCACCAAGTGCCAACGCCAACCAGTCGAGCCGACAAAATAAGAAGCCAGATTCTAGAAAGCAAAAGGCGAATCCCCAAATTTTTTTTCCCTTATTTTTTTTTTTGTTATTTCAATTTGTGTAAATTGTAATAATTTTTTTTTTGTTTTTTGTTTTTAACATATTAAATTAGCACTTTGTTCTTTAATTGCTCGAAACGGCACAAACTTCCAGTGGACCACCAGTTCATTGTTGCCTCTGGGCTCTAGCTCTCTGGGAATCTGTGATTGCAAGTTCAAGTTGCCAAGTATTTGGAAATAGTATATATTGCATTGTGAGATTGTGAATTGATTTTGTGAAATTGTGAATTGCACTAGTTTTTTGAGTTGCTTCCAGTATTTGTGATTCATTTGACATCTCGAATTACTCCCACTCCTAGTAGTAATTGGGTGATCAGTGAATGAATGATAGCACAATTGTTTATGTGGAGAAAGATATATTTTTCAGGTTCAATAATGAAGTTATTATACAATGATATCAAAGTATGAAAACTCGCAAAAAACAAGTGTAATATATAAATTATGTCGTTTTTAGTATTGATGTACTATTGTTTTATTTTTTTATCGTCATTAAATCCCCGACCAAAACCTCGACATTCGTCGTCAAAATTTTTTTGCCCGCACTGAACTAAAATCCTGGCTCCGCCCCTAGTAGTAAGTACATACGTTGCACGTCTTAAGTATCGAATGAATGATATGTGTAATATTTTTGAAGTACTAAAACTGTTTTTTATTACAATAACACTTTTTTGTACATGATATTTATGTTCTACTTTTACCAAGATTTTTGTTGTTTGCATTGAAACTCTGTGAGAAAGTGCAACATATAGTTATATTCGGTAAGTTGATGCAATCCTCTATGTAAGATTATGCTCTATTACCAATATGGATAAAGTATTGTGCAAATCAATTATCAGTTTGAGCACGCATGTTCTGATTTAGTTGTATCTTTTTCATTTTCTCTCAAAGATATAATATAATCAAATTTTGGTTAATTGTTGTCGTCCTGTTACTTTTGAGACAATAGGTAGTACTTAGCAAAAATCTCCTCCAAATACAAAATCTTTTCCGTCAAAAAATTTTGAATTGTTCAAGATATTTCTTAAAATTTTATCAACGATTTCTATTATACTTTTATTGGCCATTGGTGCTTCAATTAAATAAATATATGTTTTTCAAAACTTCGCAACTCAGAAAACATTCCAAAAATAAATTCTGGTCCAAGCGGAATTCTTGACGACGGCATAACAAAAAAAAATTCGCTAGTGAATTCACTTTATTAATGCCATGGGCTCATACAACTTTTCTCCTGATTTCTCTATTTCTTTTATATATTCAGATGTGCTTGTATTAGTCTATGTTTGATTGCGTAATTATATTTGAAAATTTTTGGGCCAGATGAACTCCATCAATATTTTTCGAAGATAGTCCCTAGCCTCGGTATAGGAAGAGGGTTGCAGTGGATTGGTGGCGAGCACATGACTTTGTTCAAACTTTACACCGAACAAAATGACAAAAGAAGGTTCATGCGGCCAACTTTGAATTTATTGGGAATAAAACTTATTTTGATGTTGTGTGGACGACATAGATCAAAAATGGATCATTTAGTCATTTGTTTCCATGTGTCAAGGGGATTCCCTTTTAACTTATTTCATCTCAAAGCTGTAGAAAAGAATCAATTATAGAAAAAAAAAAAGTCAGAAAAATACAATTATAGAAACCATACACAATAAGCCTAAGCCCACTCTTATTTCTCAAAATTTTCCAAACTGACAACGTTCAAGTGCTGATACAAGCACAATATATGTTTTACTGTTATCATTTTTAAGCCAAACAGACAATTCAAAAATAGACGAAAATATTAAACACTTAAAGCTACACAATTTCAAATATTTCAAAATGCTTTTAGAACTATGCAACATTCTTAGTTAATTCACCAAAAACTAACGGGATACAAAAGCGGCCTTCACATTCAAAACCCTCTTATATTATGTTTTGAATTTAAATAATAATTGTATAGTAGGTTATAAAAATTTTTAAATTCTAATAATAATTGAAGGATGTATTGGAAATTATACAAAATTAATGAGGGTATCGTTGTATTTCAAAAGTTTCTCCTCAATCCCCACTTTTTAAATATTGTAGATAAGTTTGTATTAATCATATACAATAATTAGTAATAATAGTGTTTAGTGGAAATTAATTTAAAAGATAGATAATTTTAATTTTAATAATAATTGAATTTAGTTGAAATAAATTTAATTTTAAGGGTATTATTGACCATAAATATAAAAATATAAGGGTAAAATGGAAAATTAAAGATATGAGGATAAATGAGGGCATATTGGATTTAAAGCTAAATAAGTAAGGGTACAATTGGTAATAAGAAGTTTCTCCTCAATCTCCATTTTTAATATATTGTAGATGTATAGTTCAGTAAGAAAATTTTATTTTTGTATGCAGAATATTATATTGTATGAATGTGGCTGGAAATGAGTATGTAAAAGAATAAAAATAAAAAAATAAATATTCAAATAATGGTTCTCAAACAGGGGCAACAGTGTCACCTGTGCAAAGCAACAAAGGCAGAGGCAACACGCAATAGGGACTCTACTTTTCTTTTGGTATGTACTTTTAGCCCTCGTTTGACCCCCATTACCTGAAAATGAAAATGAGGGGAATAGTATTTTTTTAAAAAATGAGTGGTTGAAAAAGAAGGAAAATTTTTCGATTTACGTATAATATTATTTTATGGAAGATTGTGTGATTGAAAATATGAGAGAGAAAAATAGAATGTAATGTAATTGAATTTAATGGGGGATCAAACGGGGGCTTAATCTCCATTTCTCACATTTGGTATGTTTGCTTCAAATCCACTCAGTTCTACCATATTGTCGATTCTGATGCAATTCAAAAGGTTAGATGGTTTGCTTGAGTAAGGTGAAAACTTTGAACTTGGCTCAGATCCTGCACCCTTAAGACTAACTTACCTTTATCAATATCGAAGAAGGTTCAACTTGTCGCTAATAATAGTCTACCCAAAATCTATACAAGAATTTCTCAAACTTCGTTTCTTGGATGTTTTTCTGTAACTCCTAAGAAATAGAATAGAGAGATTTTTCTCTACTCACCTCCTCATCTCTCAACCCATGTCTATTATTTCTTATTAGCTTCTTCACATGAATCTTGAATAGTTGTACCTTACTCCTAGTAATTATGGCATGGATATTTTCCTCTTTTGACCTCTTCCGAAGTCTTTGCAAAAGTGGGATTGGAGGTACAACGGATTGAACTTTTATAGCTACCCTTGGTTACTCACTTTCCTACTATTTTTATTGTCATCACTTGCTCCCATCCATATCAAAAAAAGCCGGTAAGACTACCCAACTCACATAATCATACAATAAAGCAATAAAATATTTTTTTGAAAATTTTCAACTTTTTTTTTCTTTTTTTCTTTTTCTTGTATATGAAGCTATAAAACATGCAAAATAAACGCTCAATATCATTTTTAATATAAGCACCACCCCCAAACTCAAACTATACATTTTCCTCAATGTATACAGTGACTGTATAAAGCCCAAAATCAAATAAATAATAAGAGAGGGATAAAGAGACTTACCAATAGGTTTGTTGATGGTAGAGGCACGAAATTTATTATTCCCTTCCATTCTTGGTATAGCTATTTCCTGCTTGATTTCATGGTACACTCAAGTTAATATAGTAATAATGAATATTAAAAATGTACAAAGACACCAAAACGGGATGAAATATGTATGAATGGAGGAAAAAAAACATAAGAGTCAATAACTAGCATGAAAGCTACAATGTAGTGTGTAAGATAATCACTTTTGTTTACGTCCTTGGAACCTAGAAAAATGTGGCTACTGCTTGTTTTACTAATTTTAACTTGAATAAAGGTATTTATTTCTTTTTATAGGCCTAATGTTGATGTGATGACCTTTCTATGCTAAAATTAAAACAAATATACCTAATTTTAATGCAAGTTATTAACTACATGCAATGCA